GGTGAGTCAATAGTGATCGAGAATGACAAAGTCTCAAAAAGCTCGGCTCGTGAATGCCAACACGGCCCAGAATTAGCGTCCGCTGCTGCCTGCCTCTTAAACACACCTTTCCTTGCTGGTGGCATCTCACAGCCCATAAGCAACCACCACCCTTCCGCTATCAGCGAACAGGGCACGAAAGGCCAACCCATTCTGACCCTCGCACCGGCAACATGGCCGCCTACAGCTCATTCCTTGCAAAGGCGCACCTCTTCGTGAGTGAAGTCTCTGCAGCAAATTCGTCGGTGCTGTATGCTCATCCTCGTGTCTCTGCGCCGGACTGCGTACGTATGCCCAGCCTCTGGTTGGAGGTGCGTTGTACGTCACCTTCATCCTCTCGCTGATGTACTTGAAGGACTTTCAAGCGCAGAATCTCTTTCTGCACAAGATCGTCTTTCCCTTCAATCCTCAATTCGACGAGCCGGAGAGATATGGTCTCGCTCCGCACAAGACTCGCAACCTCAGGCTGAAGAGCGACGACGGCATCCAAATCGGTGCCTGGCACGTCGTTCCGGATATCCACCTCCGGCAGATTGTGCAAAAGTTTGACGACCCTGCTCCATCAGATTCCGCCTACGATGCCGCACTCAAGGCCTACCCTACTGTCATCTACCTGCACGGCAATGCTGCCAACAGAGCCGCTCCCTTCCGCATCGCCTCCTACAACCAATTCACAAACAGACTTGCCGCCAATGTTGTCGCCATCGACTACAGAGGTTTCGGTGACAGCGAAGGAGACCCTACGGAAGAAGGACTAATTCTGGATGCCAAGGCTGCTTTCGACTGGGTCGTCGCTCGCAAGATGGCTCAGGGAATGTCGGAGGAGGAAGGTCGCAACGACATTCTGATTGTTGGGCAGAGTCTCGGAACTGGCGTAGCAGCTGGTGTGACACAGCGACTGGTAGAGAGGGGTGAGCGTCTCCTCCACCACAACAGGCAGCTGTATGCGCATCGCTCTACTCACCTCAGCGTCTGGTGCCGCTCCACAGGTACGCCACCGAACGCCGTCTATCTCATGGCGCCGTACATCTCCATCGCGCATCTTTTGACATCTTACCAGCTGGCAGGATTCTTGCCAATTTTTGCACCTGTCCGTCTGATTCCTTATCATCAAGGTGCGTAGTCAGAGTCCAGCGGCCGGTGACCTGGAGCAAGGACTGACGCAGCGCGCTGCTTTACACCAGACTTGATCCCTTACTACCTCAAGTGAGCGCATTTCGTCGTTCCCTCTCGCTTGCTGATTCGAACCTCATTTGGCCTTCAACTTGACGTCACAGTGCTCGATTCGAGAATTTCAACGCTTTGCCGCGCCTCATTCGAGCGTCAGGTTTGGATCCAGAGGGCCAAGTCTCTGTAGATCACACAGCAAAGTCAGAGGTTCGGCCAGGACACCCGCACATCATCATCAGCAGCGCGACCGACGATGATGTGATCCCATTCAGGCACGGAGAGACCCTGTTCGAATCTCTACTGAGGGTGCATCTGGGTCTCGCCACTCTTCCCGGCTCTAGAGGCACCAAGGCGCAAAATGAGAGGGAGTGGGAAAGGGAGTATGAAAACCACGTGCATGTCCGGAAGGCGGTCTCGCGAGCTGGAACTTGGGCAAAGACATACACTTTTTGGACAGACGCCAAGCTGGAGCCCAAGCAAGAAGGTCCAAGCGTCTCTCTCATCCGCACGCCTTTTGGTGGACACAATGGTGTAGCAGACGGTACGTTGAAGCGTACAGACGCCGCGGCATGAAGATTCGTTGACTGACACACTTGCCCTATATCAACTCTTCACAGGCATCATCGACGTTGTCGGAGAGCTTTGTGAGCTAGACGTGCTCTCTGCCGCAATGATATACGCGTCAGATGACTGATCACGCCCGAACCACTTGTTTCCTGCAGCCGGAATCAACTTCAATAAAGCTAGAACGGAATCTTGAATGAGGACCCCGAACTCCTTTAATGAGTGTAGATTGCGCGGGTCCCACGCGCTCGCAGCCATAAACATAGAGATACACAACTCGAAGGTCAAGAATCGGCCAACCTGATGCTGGATGCTGTTTCGGTAGCTCATTTTTCTGTGCAATTGGGGCAAAAGCTAAAAGTACAAGATTCCTTCCTCCCGCGCTTGTTGATCTTCCTTGGGCCTCTCGCCACAAAGTGCCGAGCGACGTCCGGATTGTCTTGCTGACGATGGCAAGCATGAACTGTGCAGCTGATTTGCTGGTCATAGGTATGGATTTTGCACGCTCTTCGGCCAAAGATTACGCTCTCGTCATCACTCGTCACTTTCGAGATCTGGCTTGATTGCGGCCGATTCCTTCTTGACGCTTTTGGAAGGTCTTCCTCGCTTCTTCTTGGCATGTTTGTCTTCGGTCTGCCCCGCGTTGAGGTGGTTATTGCCGTCAGCATCGGGCTCAGGCTTCGCTAGAGGCGCACCAGAAGCTTCCTTTGAGGTCCTGCCGCGCTTCTTCTTGACGGGCTTTGAATCCAGCTGATCCTCTTCGTCGACGGACTCTGGCTTGGCCTTCGCCGCGCTTCCTCTCGAGGCGCGCGAGCTCTTGCTTGCCCTCTTCGCTACCGGCTCAGGCTCATCAAACTCTTCCTCGTCCTCCTCTTCATCCTCAGCATAGCTCTTCTTGGCTGACGCCGCTGTGAAAAGGGTTTGGCAGCGTCACGTAAGATGTCAATCACTTCTCGCACCCCTACTGCCATCACGCGTGTGTAACACTCACCAGCCCGACCAGAAGAGCGAGTCGCTTGAGCAGAGGCTCTTCCCTTTTTGCTAGAGTTCGAGATGCGACCCCTCTTTGCTTTCTTGTTCGGCCGATAGCCGTCCGGATCCGAATCGTCCGTCTCGTCGCCCTGAAACTCCTCCTCCTCATCGTCGTCCTCTCCATCATCCTCCAGCTCTTCCTCCTCTTCCTCATCGTCCTCCGCCTCCTCCTCGCTCTCGTCTTTCTTCTTCCTTTGCCCTTTGGCGCCCTTGCCCGCAGCCTTGCTCTTGCGCTTGGACGCAGCAGCTTTGACTCTGGACCTGCTCTCCACAAGGTCGTCCTGCTTTGTGCCCGACCCTCGACCGTTGCCGGCTTTCGTCTTGGACTTCTTTGGCGTATCTCCGTTGGCAGACGGCTGGGTCCCTCCTCCGCCATCCGCCTCGTCGTCCTCGTCTCCATCTTCATCTTTGGGCTTCTTTGCAGACTCTGGTATGTCTTCCTCTGCCGCATGGCCCTCTGCCCAAGCCTTTTTGATCCTCTCTTGGTCCCATTCCTCAAGCTCTTCTATGCCGTCCTGCTCAGTCAATTTTTCAAACAAATGCGTGAGACTGTTGAGCACAGACATGGTAGCGCAACGCTCCTGCAGCATCACTCACCAGATCTTCTGGCTCAGGCAGGGACTTCTTGGCATTGGTGATGATTCTTCCCGTAACGCATCCCCAATGTCGCCATTGAAAGCCAGTATGACCTTGAATCTCTACGAACGGAAGTGTAATCCTCGAGCGTCAGCAGCTGCTCAGCCTGTGAGCCCACCGAGGCTGAATCAAATCCTCACCTACGACGGTTCCCCAGCGCTGGATGTGAACGAGACGCATAGCGAACGCTAGTCAGCTCGTGGAGGCCCGACGTTGTCGATACACAAGCCCTCTGCAACCCACGACTCACCATCTCCCCTTTGCCAATTTTGGTGCCTGCGCAAGGCTTCGGACCTTTACATGCCGCCCTAGCGCTCTTGGCGTATTCGATGCGGTAAGCTTGAGCACGCAGAGGATGGAGCAAAGGATGTCGAGGGCTTCAGCACACGACACTGCGTCGCGCTGTGAGGCTCGATGCCAGGGCTAGTCTGTCTGACCGCTGCTCACCCATGTCGACGAATCGGCAAAATTGACAGCGTGAATGATATGAGATGGATATCCCACAGCTGCTGTTGGTGTTGATGCTGCCCGCTGGGCCGGCTGCTCTTCGGTCTGGAAGAACAGGCTCCACGGTAATGTGGAGGTGCGTGGAGGCCTCCTCTACGAATTGTGTGGGCGCAAAGCCAATGTGAGATCCGTAAAGCAGAACACAAATCTTCTCAACGCTGAGCTATGATCGAGGCCGACGGATGGCGAGCTTGCTTGCTTCGAACAGTGAGCACGAGGTTTTGCTTGGCGATGGGACGCGGTGCTGGTGGATGGGCGACGAGGTGCTCGGGTGAGGTGTAGCCCATGGCAGGCTCAAAACGGGACCGCGCGCACTCCGCACCGCAACGCGCGAGATCGCACCTGCTTGCACGCTGCTTGCTATCGCTGATGATGATCCGCTTCCGCATGGCTTTGAGGAAGCCAATTGACTGGTCACGTGATGCGACTGGGTCCAGATGCGTCTTCAACTCTTGACTGAATCAAGGGACTGCATCGCAACACAATGGACATTTCGCAGTCCGAGATGTCATTCGCACAATAT